CTCGTGTTACATAACCTGTGCTTATGTACAGTTTAGTGTCAAAATGTGCGCGAGTCGTGTTACAAGTCATTTTAAAGCGAGAGTAAAGGTAAAGAAATGTAAGTGATTAATCCTAATCCTGTGGAATATCTCGAGACGAACACAACAGAAGTGACAGACACCGATGCAGATTCCATTCATTCCAGCCTTGAACCACAAATATAGCATTCCATCACTCTCGAAACAATTTTGTAATAATCTCTAAACCAGTGTTTTTCAACCTTGGGGTCGAGGCCCCAGGTGGGGTCGCCTGACATTTAGATGAGGTCGATTTCATTTAAAAAAAATCATTACGCCTGACATTTAGATGAGGTCGATTTCTCAACATTTAAAAAAAATCATTGAAAGTAACCACACACTAACTGTATTCTTTCATGAGTATAAATCAAGTACAAATGAAATGGAGCATAAAAAAATATCAGAGCTGAAGCGTCTCCACTGATGACTGCGATCATGCGACTGCTACGAAGTGACATCTACTTCCTTTGGGTACCTTTGAGCACAATGTGCATTAATCTGACTGTACTCTGTATTTGCAAAACCATGATCTAAATCTTAATTCTAGAAAAAATAAAATGTCTCGAGAGGTCGCCAGAAACAATGTCAGTGTTGAGTCAAAGAAAGCTACACTCAAAACAGAATTAAAAAAAACTGAATTCTCTTGTTTCACTCTTCACTTTGTAAACGCTCATTCTTTCCCTTCACGTCCTACTCAACCACAGTGTTAAAAAAAAAACTGCACACAATGTAAATGTTCCCAAGAGCCAAAAAAAATTTGCAGATCAGCAGTCGGGAAGACTGCCAGTGTTTTATCATTTGCAGAAGCCAGGGAGCTGTCACGCCACTGAGTTCATGTCCGACCAATGGGAAGGGAGCGTCAGAGGGGAGTGTTTGCGGGGGGTGGATGGAGGGGAAATGAGGACGCATGTTTGATGAACAGGCGGAGACTGCATGAGAGTTTGGCTGCCTGATGTTTTGACACTGTACGAGGAGCGAGAGTGAAGAAAAGACGACTGTGTCAGTGAGAAAGAGAAAGCATGTGTGAAAGATGTTTGCCCCAACCTTTTCATCTGCTGCACAGGGGGCTATAGCCACTGCCCGGAGGTGTTGAGTTGTGTCCCGCTAGGACCTACACGCCGGCTGGTAACCCACCTCCAAGTGTCTTTCTTGTAGTCCAGCAACAACACCTCAAAAAAAAAAATTCATGTTGTTTGTTAGGGAAAGGATTGAATCTTAGTCGAACATAATGACACATTTAAATTTCAATTTATATTCACTCTTGTTTTGGTGAAAAACTGGGCATGCTGATGTAAGGGTTTGTATTGCGAGGTCAGTCACTTCACTCTGTTCTTCATTTCTGTTGTTGTTGTTGTTTTGTTGTTTTTTTCCTTTCCACCTGAAAACACCACCAGATGGCAACGCATCCTCTGACCTTCCCTCCAGATAAAACCAAGTTTGAATTGAATTTGCATGGAGAGCATCACAGCCCTTTTCTTTTTCAGTTGAATTTCAGGAACAGAATGGATGCAAATATTTATTTATTTATTATAAGTTGATAAGACTAATGTTAGAGTAATGTTTAAGAAGATCAGAGGCCGTGTTGCTGTTAGCACATTTATTTTGGCATCTCTGCTCACTTTGTGTTTTATGATCTTCCCGTCTTTGTTCATTCACTTCCTTTTCCATTTTAACCCTTTTTTTTCTTGTTTTTTTCTACCTTCTATTTTGACGTTGAACAGACTTAATCTTTTTCCTCTGTTCTGTGCCTATATCCAAGACAAACACTCTTTGAAGCCACAGCTGTGCTGCTTTCACCTTCACGTCTTGGCTGCAGCCTTGACGTCGTATCGTAGCCGTGCTGTTTTTATGGGAACAGGCTGATAACTCACCAGTGTGTGACTGTAAAGTCTGAACGCTGAGAGCTTTGGCTTCTACTTGGTAGTCTGCATATCATACAGAAACCAAACTAAATGGCGCTATTTCTCCTATTAACATCTTTGTTTTTTTTTGTTTTTTTTTACAAACTGCTTCTCCTAGGTTTTCCCATCTCCTTTTCCTGTCCTGACTTTCATTTCATCTTAGTTGAAGACCAAAAAATGCAAACTCTTACTCCCTGCCCTAAAATCGACAAATTAGCCAGCAAATCCAGACAGATGGAAGGACAGAGAGAAAGTTCCAGTAGGAAATGAAAAGTTTTGTCATTATCAGTTAACAGAGGGACAAAAAACCCCAAACTAAACTAAAACAAAAAACAAAAACATGAAAATCTTTTTTTTCCCTCTGATTCCAGTATCTCTGTCTAAACGACGCTGCTTCTCTTTCCAGGTAATGTAAAGTTCATTGACTACGAATACGCTGGGTACAATTACCAAGCCTATGACATTGGGAACCACTTCAATGAGTTTGCTGGTAGGTGACCCCCCTCCCCCCCCCCTCAAAAAAAAAAAAAACCTGGATGTTGACGTTTAAGGCATTTAAATTTAATGTGTGTTTTTAATGAGTGTTTTTTCTTTTTTTTTCTGGTTCCAGGCATTAATGAGGTGGATTATAGCCACTACCCAGACCGGTCTTTTCAGCTGCAGTGGCTCCGCTCCTACCTGGAAGCCTATAAGGAACATAAGGGCCAGAACAGTGATGTAACTGACAGGGAGGTGGAGGTTCTTTATGTGCAAGTCAACCGATTTGCCCTGGTGAGTTTCAGCAAACACGCTATGGAAAATACACAATACGTAATGTTGCATAATATGCCGCCATTTTGTATTTAAAATGGCACCCTCTAGTTGGCAGAGAGGTAGTTTGAGGAAAACTTATCATTAATACTCTTTAAGACAGTTTTCAACAACTGGGGGCTCGTGGGCCGAATCCATAGGCAAAAAGAGTTAGTCATCAAACACATAAAAAAAAATAAAAAATTTGCTGCCACAAAAGTTGGGTCAGCAAACGAAGAGGGGAAAGTGATATGAGGGTAAAACAAGACAGAAGAGAGAAGTGAAGGTTACCATAAGCAGAAGGGGGATTTGAGAGGAGCCCTCTGATGGAGACACTCCTAATGATAACTCCAACCTCCTCTCCTTCCCCCCGACCCCCCCCGAGGCTGCCAGCTCCCCCCAGAGCTGCGTTCTGCCTTGTTTACTGCCCAGAGAGACGAAGGAAGGCGGTGTGTACGCCCGAGTGTGTTCTCAGTCTGGCGTAGAGAGAACAGTCTTTACTTCAAGAAAAGATCAATTTGAATCTTTTATTTTTGTCCCCCTCCTCCCCTCCTCTCGTCTCCCTCCCTCCCTCCTCCTCCTACCCTCCTTCTTTTCGTTGTCTAGGTTTCTCATTTCTTCTGGGGTCTCTGGGCTCTGATTCAAGCCAAGTTCTCCACCATTGACTTTGACTTTTTGGGGTAAGTTGTCATCATGAACACAGATATGCAATATACTTCAATATACTTCAATATACTTCAATATATTTCAATATACTCTAATCTACATTGTTAGGAATACATTCATTGTGTACATTTCTGTCATGACATTATACAATTCAAGCCGATTCTGATGGACCAGTTAATGTAGCAAGGTTCATTAGCATATGAGCTAAAAAAAGAAGCTAACTGGACTAGCTGCAGCATTAGCAGCTAGCTTAGATGCTAAAAATGGGAAACAGAAATGGATGTTTCTTTTGATTATCAGTTATTGGTTGATTTAAAACCCCTCCTTATTGCGCCCCCTACCACATAATCTAGTTTTATTGATATTTTAACATGAGCTCTGGTTGTTCTCTTCCCTCTGTCCCTCTTCTGAATCCAGATACGCTGTTCTGCGCTTCAACCAGTACCTGAAGATGAAACCAGAAGCTCTTGAATTGAACTTCCCTGAATAGAACACCCACCGCTCTACATGCCTCCCTCCTCCCTCT